TTCCTGCCCTGTTCGTCACAGACATCTCTACCCCCTTCACCTTAACTGCTCGGTAATGGCTCTGTCCTCACCTGTTTGTCATCTCCAAAATCTCCATCAAGTAGGCTCAATACTTTTGTAGATTATTTTTGTTATCTTCATTTGATTTTGAATAATTATGGCGTAATATGATCCTAAATCCCAATTCTTGTTAACGCCCATCTTCCCACTGGTTCTGTTTAAAAGCTTTCCGTGCGTGGTCCATTTTTCCATTGTTGTGAGGAGAGTTTTTAGCTGGGCTTCATACAGTTGTAGTGCGTCCATGACGAAAACTCTGCCTGTGCTTACAGAGCTTGACTGCTCTCAAACAACTGTCGCAGACGAAGAACTTTTGTGTTTTCTGTATTGTGCGAAGATCTCGGTATATTTCCCAGCGTAGTACAGATGGAAGGAAAAGCACTAGCCTCTCCTGCGCCAGTCGGCCGCCGACGCGTGCTCGCGCCTCCCGCCCTAACCGTGGCTTCTCCCAAGACTTCCAGAACCCAACAATTCCTAGCCAAGAAGCAAAGCAGAGTCGCCCCATTCCTCAGTGGAGTCGGCTGAAGGCTGGTAATGAAACCAGGTCCAACTGCGACAGGAGACCCTGGAGGAGGCCAAGCCAGGACTGAAAGGAGCTGCGCAGGAGCTGCGCGTGTTTACCCTCTGGGAGGCCACAAGAAGAGACGCTCATTAATTAGGGTCAAGACAGTACTGAGTCCGGTTTGAAAAATAACCATTGCCTGCGGAAGCTTATTTTATTTTTCTGTGATCAGTACTATTGAATTAACAATTTTTTTATTCTCAATAAAATTATTTTAAAAATAAATTTTTGAAATCTTAAAAAAAAAAGTAAAAGCATTACAGTCTGTGGGTATTGTGCAAGATAATCATTTCTAATAAATTTTAACTTTACAAACAAAAAATAACCACCTCCTCACATCCAGTCTCCCACCGCACAGCGTAACATGCTGTAGCAATTCCTGCAGGGAAAACAAACAAACAACAACAACAAAAAAAAAAAAAAAAAAAAAACCGCTTCCATTCCATAAAACTGCCCACTAACCTCACTGGGCTTCCGGAAGTACACCCAGAATCTGTGCCACCGGGTACCGCCGCGCCAGCAGAATCCGCGCCTGGTGCCGGCTGGGGAGAGTTCAAATGCCGCCGGCCGGCCAAGCCGCGAAGCTGCGGGCCGCTCCGGAAGACGCAGACGGGATTCCTGAACGGCGGAGCTGGATCCCAGCGACGCTTCCCGCACTCGGCTTGCTGTTGTTGCTTTCGTTTTGCTTTGTTTTAGCCAACCCATGATTTTTTTTTT